ATGTGTGATCAATAAATGATGACAGGTCTCCCCGCGCCGTCTCACTGAGCTTTTATTAATGTTAGCATGTATTATTATCCAGCATTCACACATCCTCACACATGCCCACCTGCTGATCAGTGCCGTCAGTACATGTGCACCATCTCAACACTAGGCTCTGTGTGTGTGTGTGTGTGAGTGACTAGAGTTTTAGTACAGCTTACCCATCACACTGTGTAGCAAACACAAACGACTGTATCACTTAATCAATTATTGAACAGGTAGAGGTGTGTGAGAAGTGTGTTTACGCCGCCGCCGGCGAGAGCAGCATTCGCCCTGACCGGTTTAAGGATTTCTAGAGAAATAAACCAACTGAAGTGTTCGCATTTAAGTGCGAGTCTGAGGCCGTACACACACACACACACACACACACACACACACACACACACCGGGGTATTTTATAAACAGGTTTCTTCACTCTTCATGTTAAAACACTTCTGTCCACATGAACAGGGCTGTGATGCATGTTAGGAGCACGCCGAGCCAGCAGGGGGCGATAACCAGTGTGCGAAATACACATTGACGATCAGGGCGGTCAACTTTCTCGGTAATGTTAGGGATCGTGTAATAACCGCTTCAGTGAGTCTAATTTATTGATAAACTTTATTTACGCTGTCGTGTTTGTGGGAGCGGCTGTTCAGAGTATTCCTGATGCACTATTTTCTGCTTACTATAGTCACTGTTCACACTACACATCTAAATAGACTTTAGGCCTGATGTGGAAACAGCTGTTGAATGAGGAAACACAGCTCGTCTGAATCTGCTGGCGGATTATGCATTCACAATGGTATGAACCGCTATGGGGGGGTGGGCTGGGGGTCAAATATATATTCATTCATTCATTTTCCTTCGGCTCAGTCGATTCATGAATCTGGGGTCGCCACAGTGGAATGAACCACCTACTTATCTAGCATATGTTTGTGTAACCCATCACTAGGGCCAGACGGAATCTGCGGATGTTTTTTGCTATTTCTGCAGAGAATTTTGGTAAAAATCTGCGGATTTCTGCTGAATTATTTTGGGAGTATCAAAACTAAAACCTTAACATATGAAACAAAAAGTAATAAATTACTGAATAAAAACTGAATGAATTTAGATTTACACATTTACTCAAGTAAATTAACAGAATTAATGATGGGCGAAAAATCTGCGGATTTCTGTGCGCGCAGATTCGTTGTGGGCCTACCCAACACAGAAACATTCACACACACACTCATACACTAGTGCCAGTGTAGTTGATCAGTTCCCCTATAGCGCATGTGTTTGGACTGTGGGGGAAACCGGAGCACCCGGAGGAAACCCACACCAACACGGGGAGAACATGCAAACTCCACACAGAAACACCAACTGATTCGGCTGGGACTCGAACCAGAGACCTTCTTGCTGTGAGGTGTTTGAGCTACCCACTGCGCCACCGTGCCGCCCCAAACAAGTCATGAATCATTAATCATGGTTTGACAGTAATGGAGGAACGCCGCCGGTGGTAGAGGAGTGAGAGTAAGCGTTCCTCTCCAATCATTTACTGGAGTAAGAGTCTGTGAATGTACTCTGAAAGTAGCACTACTCAACTCTTTTACTCCAGTAAATGTAATTGGTTACCCGCCTCTGCTGTACCGGACCTACAGTAACTCTGAGATCTCAGAATGTTTGGGTTTCAGTCTCCTGATACTGCGTTTACTGAAGACGAACAGTGGAACCGCGTAGAAAAGAGTGCGGTGTTGAGAACAGCCCTGATCGTGTGGACAGAGCCTGAGCTCAACACGCTGCTCACTGGAGTCGTCTTGGTCTTGGTCTAGACTTTGTGCACATCCTACATTACAGAAAGGGGAAGCCAGCACAGCGATAACCAGCCTCCGCTTGTGTGTTTGGGATCTGATGTGGTCGGGTCAGTATAATGGATGTTCTCTGGAATCTTCTCAAGCGCTGGCTTCCTACACTCTGATTGGCTGATTCTCAAACTGCCCAAATCACACCAGTTCTGAAAGAGATGAACGACTTTCGGCTAATTTTGGGCCCGTGCTGGCGGCGGTGTGAACACGGGTACTGTAGACATGAGAGATCCTGAGGATGAAGACGGTGTTCAGTGAGGGACGAGTGAGATTAATGACCCGGGAGTGTCCGCCAGTGTGGACTGAAGCAGAACTCCGGGTCAGCAGTGCACAGAAACACTGACCCCTGACCCAGAACTGATCATCCCTCATCCCTGTGTTGACTGATCTGATCTGGGTTGTGCAGGTTGTGTGGTGTTAGCATCACTCATCGGAGTCCGCGTCTGCATCCCGCGGGTCCCGGCAGCTGAACTCTGACCCTGTGATGCGGCGGTACAGGTCCATGATGTCCTCGGTGTCCGTCTGGAGGTGTGTGGAGGGGTCGTAGGAGCGCGAGATGAAGATCTGCAGGAAGACATACCAGCAATGCTACGTGACATCAGTGCTAAGGCCCGTTCACAGCAAACACGATA